GGACTTCCAGGGATTCACCTGTACTCCCTTCCCATTTTCCGTAGGAGTGCCCAAATTTTAGCAATCTCGCCAGCTTTCTATGGGTCTGGGGAACTGAACTCAGGTCCTCACACATGTGCATCCGGTGTCTTTCCCACTGGCCCATTTCTCCAGCCCCTGAAGTCATTCCTGCAACATCTTTCTCTGCCGAGTCGTATTTTCAATTGGTTCTTTCAGGTCTTTCCCAGAGCCTAGCTGTGTCTCATCACCCCTTTGCCAGCCTGTATTCTTTGCAGGTGCAGTCTAAGTGGCTTCTTTGTTTGAGTCTTGCCCCCAATAAGATCTCAAGTGATCTTATTACTACTTAAAACAAATTACATTTTCTTTTATACAGAAAACACTTCAGTGCTGAATACAGGGTAACAGATCTTATTAATTTGTATAGTTTGTTTTAATGTCTTAAATAAATAAAATTCATGAGACTTAAAAAAAAAAAAGAAAGAAAACACTTCAGTAACTTCCTGTGTTATTCGAATTAAAAACCAGATCTCTCCAACCACGAGCAGTGCTGCGTGGACGCCAGCCCTTTTCTGCCTCAGAGCTCAGCTCAGTCACTGCTTACTGATTCGGTTACTAGTGGCCCGCACTGGCCTTGTTACTCTGTGATCCCTCTAACTTCGGGCCCTTGCACTTGGAATGGCCCATGGCTTCCTAATCTGCAGGTGTTTGCTCAAAGACCCTATCAAGGAAGTCTTCAAGAACTTGTGTTTTTTTTTAATTACGAAAATCCCTCTACCTTTCATCCCCCCACCTCTTTTCCCTACTTTATCTTTCTCATTGATAACCATGCCATCTAAAATATCGCTTTTAAAAATTACATTTTTCACTTTCACAGAAGCTGCATGGAGGTAAATAGAGATTCTTGTGTGTTTTGTGCAATTCTGTGGCCCTATACTTGATGGATGAGTTGGGTATTTCAGTAAAGGACCTTGTATGGTTGTTGGGGCTAACTAGCCACAGGTCCTGCAGAGGCACTGCAGCTGACATGGCCTTCCCTGCACTGACCAGCATCTCTGAAGAGGAAATTGGTATTTAAGACACTGAAATTAATTTTTAGTCTCTAGTGGGCAAATATTTTTAAAGCACTTAGAACAGTGTCTGGCACATGGTAAGAGCTCTGTAAGTGTTTATTTTAAAAGCAACAAATACTTCATCAAGTATTTTGTGATAAGTAACATTAGCAGAATGCAAACCAAAACCAATAACCCTCAAGCAGTTCAAAGCAGCCCTGGTTCTGTAATGGAGAGATGCTGTGTTCATCACAGAGAGTCTGCCCACTCTCTAGACTAACGGCAGCAGCCAGTGCCCTTGCTACACTTTAGGAAACAAAATCGGACCGTGTACTCAGTGGAGTTACAGATGTGGAGACTTGCGGTTTAAACTCTAAAGAATTGTTTTGAACTTGAGTCCAAGAAACACGTGGTTTTGAAAAGATTGCTTCAAAAGTAAGGTCTCAGGAGATTACACAGGAAAAGGCTGGGCACTGGATATCTATGTGTTCACTGAACAAACACTTCTCACCAAGTACTTTGTTAGCTTTCTAGGATCTCATGGTGGGTGTCACTTCAGTATCAGTACTATGATTGAGAAGAACCTGGCCTGGTTTGCTTCCTCATTCCATTATTATATCCAAATCAAGAAATCAGTTGCTGTCCTTAAATATAGTAGAAAAAAATGTACCATTTGTCTCCACTCCCTGAGGAGGTTCTATCAAAGTTTAATAAATAAAAGATTGGTGATTCAGCACAAAGCCCTGGGATTGTTTTGTGGGTTTGATTGTTTTTAATGTAACACTTTTCTTCATTATTTGAGAATTTCATACATGTATGTAATGCATTGTAATCAAGTCTACCTTTCATTTCCTCCCATGCAGTGCTTCCTGTCTTTCTCCCTACCACTAATCCCTCCCAATTTCTGATATTCTCTTGGCGCTACCAATGGGTGCATGGGTTTAGGGTTGTTACTGGAGCATGGGTAACCATTCAGGGGCCTCATCCCCCAAAGAAAATGGATTCTCCCTTTCTCAGTCATCAATTGCCAATGGTTCCTCATCTAGAAGTTAGACTTCCTGATACCTCCCCACTTCATGCTGTGATTTTGCCTGGCTTGATCTTGTGCAGATCTTGTGCATGCTGACAAGAAACTGTGAGTTCATATGTTCAACTGTCAAATTATGTCCAGAAAACAGTTTTACTATAGTCATCCACCTCTTCTGGCTTTTACAAACTTTCTGTACCCTCCTCTTAAATGATCCCTGGTTCTTGGGAAAGGAGACATGACATAGATATCCCATTTAGAATTCCTGGGTTTGATCCCCAGCACTATAAGGGGAAGAAAAAAAAGGGCATGGACTGAGACTTACAGTTTCAGCTGAAGGTTAAAATAACTACAGAGTTTGGTGTGAGCGTGTGTGTGTGTGTGTGTGTGTGTGTGTGTGTGTACATATAGTTGTTGCTGCTGCTACTGTGATAACTTGAATGAAATCAGAACTTTGGAATTCAATCCAGATGTATGCATTTTTGTAAAATAATCCTTTCAAAAAGACAGGAAAGGAAACAATAAGACACATAACAGTCAACAAATTATTAGTATTGGAGAAAGGGCTGGATCACAAATGGTCTTGGCATGCCAAAAGTACAAACAGCCTTCAGGAAAAAGAAGGCTTGGAGACTGCCTTCAAAAACAGCAGAATCTGTTCTGCTCTACAAGTTTTGGAAGACTTCAGGAGTTGCAGGGGTCTGAGCAGGGATAGGGTGACAACTGGAAAATGGGTTCAAAGTTTGTAGAAGGTAGTAACATGACTCTGAGATGATGGCCTGGCTATTTGCAACACTAGTCCCACCCCCAACCTTGGGACTTTAAAGAGATAGAATGAGAAAAGTAACTTGGGTACAGTTGAGGCTAAAATAAAGATGGTTTGTGTATATTGTCTGTCCTCAACACCCAGGTGCCCTTCTAAGGAATGGCACCCAGATCTAGGATGTAAGGTATATTAGAGAATACACTCTCTGCAAATGTCCAGCAAGGAAGTCCAGTGGGAGTTGGCCTCAGAGGAAACCAGGTCCATGTGTCATACATTATGGGGAAGTCTATCCAACCAGAAACATGTACATATCCAAACTGCTTCCAGTAAGCTATAGAGGTTCTAAGGAAAAAGACACCAAAGATCAACAGACATGAGGAAAGTTTCTAAAGAGAAAGACAGGAACCAAAATACTCACTAGTGTATAGAAAACCCTTTAAATGGAGAGTCACTTAGTGCTTGACAGATAGGTAGATGAATACATCTTCAGACATTAGATAACCTCAGGAGAATTCAGCTGTTATAATACAGGGTGTGAGGGGAACCTTAACAGAGTCCATGGCGGGCAACAGACAAACACACCAGGCAAACTGTGCTTGAGTGGGAATTCTATTAGGGGAAAGGGAAGGGGGTGGAGAAAGGGAAGGAAAATGGGGAAGAGAAGAGAAAGAAAGGGAGAGGGAGGGGAGAGAGAATAGGGAAAGTGCCTTCCCCTTCTAAGGAGCAGTGGGAAATAGAGTGGAAGTGGGTGGAGTTTTCCTCTTAAAAGAACCTTTGCACCTTCATGCAGACTACATAGTGATATAGCAGCCATAGGACCCTGGGCTGGCCGGGGTACTGCCTGAGTGTATTCAGCCAGGTTACAGGGCAGGCCAGCACAATGCCTGAATCCTAACATCAGCAATTTCCTGTGTGCATGTGAACACTGTGTGCTCTTGCAGAGGAGTGAGGAGCCCTCTGTTCTTCTGCTATACTGTGTGTGTGTGTGTGTGTGTGTGTGTGTGTGTGTGTTGGTGTTAAATCTCAGTTCCATCATTTTCTAATCTATACGATTCTGGTAAGGTTATCAAAATTCTTCGTGCCTCAGTTTCCTCACTTGTAAAATGGGAGTTCATAATGATACTGTTTTATAGAACAAGACAGAACCCTTAGAAATTCCATCTACACTAGGAGTTGTTTCAAATTCCATAAGACATCTTAAAGTAAAAGCTGAAGAAACTTTAGGAGAAATCAAAAGACAGATAAGGAAAATAGAGGACGAAACAGAGACGGCAGGCAGATGAACGCAGACAAGAATAGTGGCTAAATCTCATTCTGGAAAATGAGGGTCTGTGTGGTTGACAAGGGCACGCCACTGGAACCTTTCTGAGCACGCAGGCAGATGAACACAGACAAGAATAGTGGCTAAATCTCATTCTGGAAAATGAGGGTCTGTGTGGTTAACAGGGCACGCCACTGGAACCTTTCTGAGTGCTGAGAGTGAAGATCTCAAGCACTCCCAGAGAGCAGAAAGAGGTCACATCTAAAGGACTAAGAATTGAGTGGCAGGAGGGTAATCACGTTCTAAGCAATGTGGACTTATTCTGGGAAGGCTACCCTAGTTCCAGGATAGAAAACTGTTTGATTTAGATATATTTGTCACTTCAAAAGATTGCTCTTGTGTGTTCAGCCAAGTAGGGGCTCAACTCTGCTTAGTGGTCTGAACTTCTCACATCTGCCTTTGTCTGAGAGCACCTATTTTTCTTTTTAAACTACGGCAAAAGAGGATTCAACTTGCCACCTTCCTTCCTTTCCTCCTCCTCCAGTCCCCTGTCCCATTTGTCTTCCTTTCTCTTCCTGTTTCTGCCTTCTCCCTTCCTTTACCTCTGAGCCGTCACACTTGCTCTGTCTATTTCTGTCTCTCCTTTTCCCTTTTTCTTTCTATCCACAGAAGTCTTATGTTTGTCTAATAATTGGCAGGAGAGATCTTTTTTTTTTCTTGCTTGCTTCTTCAGTGATGAATAGTTGGCGTCAGATCAAAGACAAGCCCTGTGGTTTTCTGGCTGCCCAGAAGGGCGGTGCAGCTGGCAGGCATCCCAGCTGCCTGGTGATAGGCGTGTGGAAGAGATACCAAGCTCACAGGTCACTGTGTGTGTGTTCCTGTATGTGTGTTTTGCAGGCCAACAGCAGACTGAAGCAGATCGAGAAGGAATACACTCAGAAGCTTGCCAAATCTTCCCAGGTAAGCATGGGCTAAAGACACAAAACAAAACAATAAATCCCAAACAAAAAGCAGAAATGAAACCAACACAGAAAACCTTTGTTTGTACTTCAGAGTTAGATCAAATTCTTGTCAGTTTTTTCATGAATTCATGTCATATTTTGATGGATAGATAAATAAGTAAAATGTTCTTAATATTTCCAGCTTATTAAAATCAGGAACAATTGTGCATATTGAGCTATTTGAACCAGCACACACAGCTTCATGTTCACACAGAGAGGGGTGGGGGGAGTAAAATGTTGTAAAACCAGCTGGCACACTTGAACAAGCCCAGGCCGAAAGACATTTCACAAGGCAGGGGATACACACCTACATTTGTGATGTAAGCAGGTTGATAACATCTGTGCTTTTTTTCTTTTCAATATTCTAACTCGCTGCACCCATGAGCTAGTTGACTAATTCAAAATGACAGACAATTCTAGGTTGAATTGTCAGCTCAACTGTTGGCTCCTTCTGGAGGGTGGGAAAAGAATTCCTGTACCCATCACTCGTTTGTGCAACTCCAGAGGTTTTAACATAAGGACGGCTAACAGTTAAATGCCGCCTCTGCTAGATGGGCGATGCTTGCAGAACATAACTTCATGAGTTGTCCTGTTTCCCAGTGGCTTCAGTTAGGGAGTGCTGTGAGTTCTGCTACAACAACAAAATACCATTTACCTTTATTTTGTAGATGAATAACTAAGCCATTTGGTTTTATAATGTTCATGTCTAATGACTTGAAGTTGGCTTTAGTATCATTGCCTGTGTACAATGGCATGTAAACTGAAATTCATGTTCCATTTTATGAATTCCTTGATAATAGGAGCAACAGAACAAATGGTAATAGCCAACATTTCTAGGCACAGGCCTAGTGACTTCATTCAGTCTTCCTCACTGGCTCTATTTTTCCAGTTGAGAAAACTGAGAGTTAAGGGCTGGGACTGTAGCTCAGCAGTAGAGGGCAGAAATCTGAGATCAGAGAGAGATGAGATCATAGGAGTTAGCAAGTGACTAAGCCAGGACTCAGCCTGGAGCTGACTTCAAAGTGGCAATCCTGACCTTTGACATACCAGACTGGCCCAATGCTTTACCTTCCCGATATAGCAGAACATTATCAGGAAATGTCAATTCTGTAATTATTTCTAAAACGTGCATGTCATATAATTCTTATGCCATTAATAAAGCCAGAAGTCTTTGTTTAATTGAATAGTCATTTGTGTTTATGTGAGAGATGATTGTGGCTTGGTTGCCATTATTCCAGCCCTCAGGGAGAAATATCCTTGTTAATCTGCTGAAAACAATGCTTATAACCAGCTAAAAGAAATCTTAACACTCCCAAATGAAAGTTTAGACAGAAACATGAAAAACTGCAACTTGTCATAGTGCTTATTTTTGCTTTATTTGAAATGGAGGATACAGACAGTGAGATAAAAGCTAGCTAATGAGAATGCTTAACTAACAAGACAGAAGCCTTAGGTTTACCTACAGGAAAGTGTAGGTAAAGCATTAAAACAAATTAAATGTTAACATATAAGAAAGCCGGAGCTTGGAGTTCACAGACCTGAGTTGGAATACCAACCAGTCCTACCACTTGTGTGACCTTCAGCAAGTTTACCTGCCACTCTTGGAATTCAGTTTCCTCATTAGTCAAATGGGAAACCAGTAGTTACCCTTTAAGATGGTTTTAAATAGTAAGAAATCAATGTCCAAAGCACACAGTGCCTTGTATGCACTCTAACATTTAGTGACTGTTAGCAACCTCAGGTGTATGAACACTGCAATAGGAACAGGAAGAAAGGAGCCGAGGAAAAGGTCTACAAGAAAGATTTTTTTCATTAGACACTGCTCTGAGTTGTTTAAAAACTGATGAAATTTCTCCACAAAATTTGGAAACATACAAGCTTACTCTTTTTCTTCAAGACATCAAGGAGAAGAACGTGGGAAACAACCGGTAACTATCATGCACTGTAATCATTTTATAAGCTAAAGAGTAATGCAATGCCAAAAAAATGCATAGGATGTCAAGTGGAAGATAGCCTTACACTGATAATAGTCTCTACCCATATCTGATGCAGGGAGTATTTATAGCCATGAACTGGCACATCAGTTACAGTGCCAGTCACTGCTGAGAAACAGATTATTTTTAAATGAACATTAGAAAAAAGAATGAAACATGGGCTGTGTATGCTTCCAGATGCAAGTTTACTGCAATCTCTACTGCATATCTCATCAAGCTGGTGAGAGGGCCAGAAGCAAAGCTGCTACACTGTTTACCAGGATCTAAAAATCGTCCTCTCAAGAACAGTGCTAATGTGACTTAGTGGGTTCATTAGCACCTAAGAGAAAGGCAGTTTAAACTGGGGAAATATTTGCAATCTCTTCTTCCTATAAAGGGAGTTACTTGATCTTAAAATCTTACCAAGCTTTGGACCTAGGAGACCATGTGCACTTAACCCCAGGCACACTCAAAGACGATGCCCCTTACGAACCTGCACAGCCTTCATTCACCATGACAGCCAGAGCAGCAGCATCTCCAGATATTTCAGTCACATATTTGTGGTGATACTTTGTTTATGGTCTAATAAAGCTTGCCTGAAGATCAGAGTGCAGAGCTAAGCCACTAGTTAGCCACTCACACAATAAGCCACTAACTAGTTAGCCGCATACCTAGGCCACTGGTTAGCCATAGAGGACAGGAAGTGGTGGTCACACCTTTAATCCTAGCACTCGGGAGACAGAGGCAGATGGATCTCTGTGAGTTCAAGGCCAGCCTGGGCTACATGAGAGTGAATCAGTCTAAAAGAGAAACAGAGTTCATACCTTTGATCCCAGCACTTGAGATGACATGCCTTTAATCCCAGCACTAGAGAGGAATATAAGGTGGGAGGAGACAGGAGCAGTCTAGGTGGTCTGAGGTTTAGTAGAGAACAGTGCAGTGGGCTTCAATCTGAGATTCCTGGAGACAGGGTCCCCCTTTGGTCTGAGGTAGAGGTAAGAGCTAATGGCTGGCTGCTTTGTTTTTCTGATCTTCAGGCAAGTTTTATTAGACCATAAACAATATATCACCACACACATTTGCTCTTTTTGTCTGAATATTAGATATCAACATTGCCTTCTCAGTTTTAACATAGTCTCTAAACCCGGTTCAGTTCCCTACTCTTCATTTGCCAAAACAAGGTAGTACCATTTTGATAAAATATTCATAGCTGAAGAGGACCAGGTGCCAGCCATACCCACCCACTGCCAATCAACCCTAGCCACTACCCTGGCTAGCTTCCCCTTCATGGTGTAGATTAATGCCTGTGAAGTATGCCACATGCCCCCCTTTGTGTCCAGGGGCCATGCTGAGGGTAGCAAATGACTCTGCCTTCCTGTATTTTGTGAGGAACCCCAGTGCCTTCCTGTCCTTTCTAGGTATGGTTTTTGTTGACTATTGAACTTAGAGGAAGAATTTTACAAGTCTCAAACTGTACCACAAACTGAAAAAAAAAAACACACAATAGAAGTAAAAAGTGAAACTTAACCTCTATTTTAAATTCTGTAAAGACTTTAAATAAGATACTAATAAATACGCAGTTTCATTGCTTAACAATCATTAGAAACCATTATTGCTTTCATGGGTCAGGCTGCTTACAACATCCTCCCAAAACAGCGCCTGCTGTTTGCAGAGTGTTAATTTTCCTTATCTACATGAAAATGTCCTGATCCACTCCTTAGTATGAAATAAATGCAGGGTAAACATTTACTGACATTTTTCTTTATAAACTCTAATTATGATTCTACCCAAACTGGAGGCTCCCAATTAAGATTGGATATAACCAATTCCTTTTATTTTTTCCAAAAACTTTTTACTAGTTATTATAGAAAGGCTAAAACCATGTCAATTTATTTTTCCCAGTGGGTATGTTTCTTATTTACCATGATAGTTCACTACTTAACTTATCACTATAATTCATTACTTAAATACTTACTGAGTACTAGTGATATATGCACTCACCTAAGGTGGAAAAGTTTGTTTTCTTGTACTCTGAAGTCTACAGTGAATAGACATGAAGATCCATGCTGTGTTCCTAACCTATATTTGTTAGCCATGTATTCTATTGCTTCTTAATCTGGGATATTTAGGATATTAAATCTTTTTTTCAGGTGACACACTGTCAATCCTACCTACTAATCAACCTACTTGTCTAGCCGTAGTGTTTGACCTCAAGTGATTTGACATTCCCTTATGTCACCTTTATAAATTTTAAAAATAGCTTTCCAGATGTAATCTCATTTTCCCCCATAGAACTCTCATTATCCCTCCCCATAAAAAAAATGTAAAAGCAAGTGTGCCTTCCTTAGAATGTCATGTATAGTTCCTTCCAAAACCTACACTCATTTATTTTTGTATGCATTGTCCAGAATCTTCTAAGAATGAGGAATATCCTGATCTTGAGCTCTTAAAATCATTTTAAATACCTCAAAATATTTTTTATCTTCAACCTTAGCTATACTAATCTCAATCTTACTTTTCTTTTCTCTTTCTTTCCTTTTTTTTTTTTTTTTGAGGTAAAGTCTCATGTAGCCCAAGTTAGTCTCAAACTCAAATTCACCATGTAGCTGAAACTGACCTTGAACTCCTGATCTTCCTGTTTCTACTCAATACTGGTTTGCCCAATTATAGTATTTTTAAAAGGAAAATAAATACCGTGTACTTTAAAAGTAGATTACATGACCGTGATAGATACCCAAATGTACACATGTGATAAACTTGCAAAGAACTAAACACACACTTCAGAGTTAAACTCCCTACTTGTATGAAGTTGGGGTTTTCTCAGCTGCAGACACTGAAATATTAAGCTGTGTTGACTTTTTGACCCCATGTTCCTATAAAATATCCATCTTCAATTTCATGGTAGGTTGAGGAAATCTGGCTTCCTTGTCCCTAGCCCCTCTGGCCCTGTATCTAGAGGCTGGTTCTTCTGTGCTTCAGTTTTTGACATTTATTATAGGAATTTAACCTTTACTACTTGTGGATGAAAGTGCTATGAAAAGTAATTGACCGGATGTAACATTTGTTGCATGGGAGCAACATTTAATCAAAATTCTTAAAATAGATGAACAGTATTCTAGTCTCAGTAAGTGAATTCCTCCACTCACAGCAGAGGGCCCATTTAATATTCTCATCTGCTCTTAGGAATTTCTTCATTTCAAGATAATCTTAGCATTTGATTAAATTTTAAACTTTGTTACAGAAAATTTGCACACTAAGGGTGAACACTCCACTTTTATCATAACAATATTCTGTGCATATCCATTGTGGCAACTAATTTTTCTATAGCACTCGGCTGTTATGGCCCTCCATATAGTTTCTATTGCTTTGTCTTTTAATGTTATGCTCCTATTTTGTGGGAAACTGAGCTCAAGGAAGACAGCTAAGCCCAGTGTTTCTCACTGTCGGCATCCCGCTCACAGAGCTGTATTGTGAACCCTGGTACTGTTTCAGCATTGTGAGCACTGATAGTGTTTCTTTTATTAGAGAAACAACCATTTCCTGCTTTCAAAAACAATGCTTGCTGTTGAGATTGAAAGGAAATGGCTGCATCCAAAGCAAAGGAAGAGATGCACTCTCAGTGGGCCCATTGGTTCCTCATCAGATGTTAATTTGAGAAGGTGGCAGGAACCCTGCCCTGGAGGGAACAACTCCTGAGTGTGGGGAGAGCTACAGGAGCTCCTGTGGAAGGGCACTGTCTGAGCCAGAGTAAACTTTCACGGAGTGTGCACTTAGAAAGGAGGCAGCCTATTTGGAAGTATGAACTTCTCTTCGATACCAAACTTTTGTTACAAACAAAAGTGGAATTGGCGCATTAGAAGATGAAGCTGACCATGGCCTTCAATTCTTGTCCATCATCTTCAGCAATATAAAATGTTTGACCTCTTTGTGTCAGCTTCCTCATTTTAAAGAGGGACGTAATAGTCATACTTAATAATCATACTATGTCACAGTAGCAAATAATATAGAACTTTAAATCTCAGCACAATACATACATTAGTTAATACCCAAAACTTACAGTGTGGGATTGGGGATGATAAAGAATGAACATAACCATGAAAAATCAGGGTGGTGCTGGTGGGGGGGGTGGTGGCGGTATGGTTGGAGGTGGTGGAGGAGGAGGTGGTGGTACAAAATCTTACAAAGTGGATCAGCTTTCCTCACTCTTCAGAATTTTATTTCTCAGTAAAATACAGTCTGACTCTTTTCATTTTTTTGAGATCACAGATGTTCTTTCTTCTGATGAGTAAATATTGTGGAATGTTAGAGTGGAAATGCCTTCCAAATATATTTGGTTCAGCAGTTGTTCACCATTCACAGTTTTATTGTAGTCTTTTATTGTGTGGAAATTTTGTGCATTATCCTGAGTGATATGTTAATTGAAAATGTTCAGTTTGTGGAACAGAGTTTTGCCAAATTCATTCCTTTGTTAAGCATAAATACATATAAAATAGATGCCTCTCGTGGAGAATTTGAAGCTACAGCATGCTGTTTTCATTTTAGATCATAGCAGAGCTTCAGACAACCATTTCCTCCCTGAAAGAGGAGAGCAGTCGGCAGCAACTTGCTGCAGAAAGGCGGCTCCAGGACGTTATTCAAAAGTTTGAAGATGAGAAGCAGCAGCTGATTAGAGATAATGACCAAGCAATCAAGGTAATCTAAAGACTGCAGTAACCAGTGGTACCAGCTGCTTTAATGTAATTAAAAAGAGGCTGAAATCGCAGCAGTGGGCAGATGAACACAGGTATCTGGCTTGCTCACACAGCCTGCAGTAATTCCATTCACTGGACTCTCTACCTTTGATGTATCCAGTGACTCAGGCTGACTTCCCTCCAAGAGATCGCATGCCAGCATAAAGTCATTTTTGGCAACCCCTACCCATTCATATTGAACAAATATTTGAAAAATACCTCGTCCTTTCTCTTGAGAACTACTTTGGATTGTCTCTTGAAATTAGAATGAGTGTTTAAGCCCAATACTGCTGCCTAGCACATTCAGAAGTCAGCTTCCAATTTACATTCTGTTCTTTGCCCACATCCTTTCATTATGTATTCACATAATGAGCAATAGCATTTGTTCCAGGCATGGAATTCCAGCCATCTGATGTGCTTTGACACAGCACAGGGTTGGTTGTTGCTGCTGAGAACTTTGGTTGTTTCTAAATGGCTTCAGAGAACCATTCACACCTTAATAGCAACAGAAAACTCCCTGGACCTGATCCTCTAGGTGAGAGGCAGTTGAATCTCAAAGCAGCCTTTTCCTTGGCTTCATAGTAGTGGATGCTATTGTAAGTGTCTGCATCATGCTGTGTTTCATCTGTGAGGAGCAACATCAGAAAACCTTTATAAATACGGCTGAAAGGAGAACAAACCGGTTTAAAGAATGCCCAGCAAAAGGTTATTTTTCAGTGACTTTGCTATAACAATACTTAAAACATGTACAGTAATCATACAGAGCAAAGAAAAGTATATATATATATATATATACATGTATATATGTATTTCTAAGCCTAGATGGCATTGAATAAAATCAAAGGCATTGAGAGGTAGAAAACCCTTTTGAGACTGGCACAACCAACCTCCTCACTTTACAGGTGAGGACTTGAGATTTGGTTAACGACGTGTTGCTTATTTGTTTCTGTTTATGAGACTTTTGCCCTTCATAGGCTATGAGACAAAAAGAAAAAACTTTATTTAAAACTATCTTTCAAGCCCTTTTAGCTTACACATTCCCACTTTTCACTACAGTTGGTGCCATTGACTTGTTAACTGTTTCTATTGCATGAACTGAGCTGTGGAGTTTGTTTAACCCGTTACTTAAAAGTTTCATTTTAAGTAGATAGCTCTTCTACTTATGTCCAAATAACCAAGTAGTTGGTAATTTCCCATTTTCAAATAAACTAGTGGATCCCATTGTGTAAATGGGGAAGACATGAGTTAGGTTACCCCTATCAACAGTCACTCTTTAGCATTCTTTTTAGGTGATTAAAATTGCCTTGAGCCGGGCAGTGGTGGCGCACACATTTAATCCCAGCACTCGGGAGGCAGAGGCAGGCGGATCTCTGTGAGTTCGAGGCCGGGCTGGACTGATAGCCTCCAAAGCAATACAGAGAAACCCTGTCTCGTAAAAACCAAAAAAAAAAAAAAAATTGCCTTGAAAGAATTGTAATTAACACAATTATGCATTTTAAAGTATTTATTCTTATACTTTTAGATCATTTTCATGATAAAAGGGAAAAGCCCTTTAATCATCACTTCAGACCCACCCCAAATCACAGACTGAATTTAAGTGATGAGAATTGATATGTACATATAGCATATGCATAAGACATATGAACTGGGGCTGGAGAGATGGCTCAGCAGTTAAGGGCACGGGCTGCTCTTCCAGAGGATTAGGGATCAGTTCCCAGCACCCACATGGCAACTCACAATCATCTGTAACTCCAGTTCCAAGGGAACCAACACACTCACACACATACATACATTCAGGCAAAATACCAATGCACATAAAAATAAATAATTTTTAAATGTATGTAGCCTGTTTTTCCTGTCAGTAGCAAATTAAAGTTATAATACATTTAAAAAGCCAAGTACAGTGGCACGTACTTATAATCTCAGCACTTGGCTGAAGCAGGGGGATCATAAGTTCAAGGCCAGTCTGAGCTTGATTGCATAGTCCTGTGGGGGGCGGGGGTCTTGTTAATTTTAAAAAATGGAAACACAGCAATAGTTGAAATACAGTTAAGTTTGGGTTCTACTACTTAATGTGTAAAGTGAACAGCTTTTTTTTCTATCAAAGTTACTAAAATAACTAATTTGTTATCATTCATTTCCTTGACTTCCCACCCCCCAGCTACATACCACACACACACAGGAATAATTAGTGATAATTGTTCAACAGCACTGTGCTCTGAGTTCTCTAACAAACAATTAATTTACTTTATGTTCCATTACACCCCTTAGACCTGATCATTTTTTTTATCTGTTTCATGATTCTTTATCATCTGGAAACTAATCACATGAAACTACTAAATTAGCAAGTGTCTTGAAGTATGTACATAAAACCCAAGTTAACTACAGTGCATCTATTCATGAACACTCAGTTCTTTAAAAAATAAAAAAGGAAAGGTACAACCAAAGATAGTCCTGCGTTCTTTTGAAAAGGAAATGTCCCTTTCATTCTCCTCTGGCCCCAACCCCAGCCCTGTGCCTAGCACTTAGCTCTCTTAGTCATAGACGTTTCCAGAAGAGTTTTCCCTCCCTCAGTTAGTAGCCGGCTATCAGGAAGCCTGCCGTCCCTCGGGGAAGAGGCAGGTACCTGGGACACCAGTAGAAGGCTGGTGCGTTGCAGTGCTTTTCCTTGCACTGCTTCTGGGGGCTTTCCTTCCTAGTCTCCATCTTGATGTTCATCACAAGTCCCTGCTTCTGAGAGGGATTTTAGAGCAAAAGTTGGAATAATTCCTTTCAGTTCGTTCCATCTGAGCTTGCTAGGTATATGGAGGCAGTCTCTGTCTCCTGAATGCTAGCAGTGGCTCTCATGGGCCCCTCTAGTCCTGCAGCATCACATCAGCCCTGCTCCCCACCTCCTCACTTGTCCCCGCCACGTTTTCCCCAGCAGTTAAGGGAATCTTTCTGACAATAGAATTTCCTGAGCATAGCGGTGGGGAGACAAGGCTGAGATTGGACAACCAGTTCAACCGCAGACTGCCTGACAACTGGTGTGCAGGGTTCAAGCCACAGCCTGCCTTTCTTGCGAGCCTAAGCTATTCACCGTTAGGCCTCCCCCGGTGTCCTTACAGGGCATCTCTGAACATGAATGGAATAACCTAATGTCCAGGTGGAGATGCTTGCTCCTCCCCCCTTCTCTCTGTCTGAATGTTGGAATAAATCTGAGAATTTTAAATTCTAATTACACTGAGGGTCCTACTCATCCAGACAGAGATATAGGGACATGTGTAGATAGAGAGAGGCAGAGTCAGCATGAAGCTCAATTTTCTGGAGCCAAATACATCTGTCGGAAGACATCGTCAGCAATGGTAGCAATGATGCTAATTGTGAAACCTGCTTGCCCCCACTTTCCACTTGATGAGCTTAGCGCTCTCAAACTGAGAACTGAGATTAGAGACGATTATTGAACCCAGTGCCTGTGCCCTCTGAGCCAACTGTGGGTTTCTGTAAGTACTAAAGTTGTGCTGTAGAGAACGCGTGAGGGAGAAGGCAGCCCACAGAATCCACTGAGGACACCCGTGTGCACATTGTAGCATGGTAAAGTCCTTTGCATGACAGGTTGACAGTGCCCGTCCCTATTAAATGGCTCAGGAGGCCTGCTCCTATTTATTCTCTTATTTGGTCTTAGATGGAAACTGCCAGTGATCTGATTTTAAAATCCTGATTGATGTATTTATAATATTAACAAGTAACTTGTGCTGGACAGCAGCCACCACAAAGATGCTGCATAACAGCCCCCAAATTCAGAGCTGTTTAATACCAGACTTTGGTTCCCATGCAGCATGCCTGTGGGTCAGTGATGGAGAGCTCCTGCACTGTTGGCAGTTTGATCCAGTCTCTCAATTGAAGATGGCCCACTCTGCATGTCTGCACAGTCTTCTTGGATTTATAGTTGCCTGGGATGTTCCTTTCATGGTAGATCCTAGAGATAGAAGAGGATGGGTGGAAATACCTGTTACCTCTGCTCATTTGTGTCTGCAACAACAGAGCAGATAAATTATATTCCCATTCTCAGAACATCTGTGGACTGTGGTTTTGATGTACAGAAACTAGACTCCAAGGGCTTCTGTGTTTCCATAGCAACACCTTCCCAGGTCATCTAACATCCCTCATTTCCATTTCTAGTCTCTCTCTTCTCTTCCTTCTTTAACACTTAGTAATAGTTTTCTGCACAGCACATATAGGCCTCTTGTCCATGGCTTCCCTGACAATCTCATCCCTTCACATGAACAGGTCCCTTCATGTGAACTTCCACACAAATGAATTTTCAATTTTAAGTTTTTCTGCCCTGAGCCTACAACCAGTTTACTTAGTTGTTAACTTTTTGTTCATCTATTTGGCCAGGGTCTTCTTAAGTAGGCTTCTGTCTCAGCCTTTTAAGTACTGGGATTAAAGTAATGTGCAGCCATACCCTGTTTTAGCCCACATTTCTAGCCACATTGAACATTTCCACTCAGGTGGCCCATGGACACTCAAAGTAGACATTTTTCGAGACTGAATTTTCTTCTCATGCTCTTCCCAAGCCCAAGCTACTCTTCTTCTAGTACCAGATATCAGAACCAAATCACCATCATCCACCTAGTTATTCAGGTGAGAGTCCTGAAACCCCTCTTGAAGGAATTCTTCTCTGTCCTTATCTCATAAATCAGTCCTTGGGACAACTCCTAAATGTCTCTAGACACACACCTCATTCCCCTGTCACTTGTTCCTACTCTCACTCAGAACTGCATCCTCTCTGACTCTGCCTCATACAATTTCTCCTTTCTAGAATTACTGTCCATAGCTCTATCCCTCACACTGATGACGAAGTGACAGTCCTAGAACACAAATAAAAGCATATTGTCTGTAGCTTAAAATCTGCCATTAGCTTTCCATTTGCTACAGAAGAAATCTTAAACTTGGTCTCCTAACAGAGACCCACTCATC